GTAGCTCGGTTTGCGGTGCTAGGCACTAAGAGCTAGCTACCAAGCGCCTTCCCTTTTTTGAACCAATGGTTCTCGGTACAGTCCAATTTTGAAGGGGTGGTAAGTTGATGACACCGAATAGCGTATAGATTTGGTTCGATATCGAATATAAAATTTCTTATTTGTAGTATCAATGGCAGTTAGCTTCATAACGAGAACCATAAATCAACTCTGGTTTACAAGACCTTTATTAATAAGCAAAATTTAATTTAGTTAAAAATGATCTTATGACCGAAAAACACATGAAATTTCTGTGGCGATTTCACGAATTAAGTTCTGAATCGATATGTTAGAGGGGCACATCGCAAACTTGGAAGCACCGGCCAAAGATGAAAGTTTCCTGATACTTTAGAAAATTTCTTGTTATATACAAAAGCAGAGACAGGAAGAGAGAGAGAGAAATGGAGAGAACGAGAGAGCGAAAGAGAGAGAGGGAAAAAGGTGGAGCTGCACGGAGTACTCTAGTCTCTATCTTTGTCTATTCAGTCTTCCCTTTCAACCGTAATATTCTACCAAAATCGAAGAGAGGTAATTAGTGCAGAAATTCTCATAGAATTTATAAGACACCGTCCAAGAATAAAACCTTATTCAATCAATTCCGTTTTTCTTGATCTCGTTTCAACCAAACGTCATCTAGAAAAACATTTCATAACGAAACTGAAGTGAAAATTTTGAAAGCCCTTTCATTATGACATTCAATTCTCTCTGCCTGACTTTGAATATCTGTTAAACTATGATTTCTCGGAGTGACAATACTATCTGTAAGCCTCAAGCTATAGTATAAGTTATATTGGATCTTTGATAAGATCGAGTTTTGTGTCAAAAGAACAAAAAATAAAGAACAAGGAAGACGTCGTTTTACCTGCATAATTCGCAGGCTAAAGCTGCTGCATCCTAACCGACGATGAAGAGGCGGGATGGAGGGTAATATCGAAAGTGTAAACGTTGCAGCCAAGGCGAAGGATTAAGATAGACAATTGAGCTGAAGAAAAGATCGCAATGTCACAAAAGTTATAGTCTCCCAGCGAGACGACCTTTGGCTTCGTATGGCAAAGCTAACCTGGGAAACATAAGCAACCCTACGTATTACCCTCTCCACAATGTATTCAACAGACGTAGACTTTAATTAGTTACCTGTTTCGACCAGAAAATTAGCGTTTAAATTAGGCCGATAAAAATTCAGCGATGCGAGTATACTCGTCATACGGAGAATGTATGAAATAAGATGAAAAAATCACGAAAATATTTTCTAAAATATATTATTATATTAAATCCACGTTCATAATGAAAATAAAATTAATGAAAATTTTATGAGAAAATCCGATAAGACAAAATTTTATACATTTTTAATAAAGATTATACCGTGTTATTAACAATTAATCGATTAATCGTTGGCTTATTATTGCCCGTCCGAAAAAAGTCTGGACACTCTTAGATCAGTACACAAAACGCATCATTTATGTAAATAGGCCTCGAAGTCAAAGGGTATTCACATTCTAAGACCAGTACACAGAAAACTGATGCTTATGTAAACAGGTCCAAAGTCAAAAGGGATACAAATTCTAAGATCGGCATAAAGAAACTCGCTACTCAGGTAAATATGCTCACAAGTTAAAAGGGCTTCACTTTCTAAGATCGGCGCACAGCAACTCGGTGCTTATGTAAGTAGACCAAAAAGTCAAAAAGGCTTAGGTCGGTAGTCGAAAACCCGAACAACAGTGAACAATTCCCCGCACCGACTTCATAATATGCAGCCAGCAACGGGCAGTGTTTTATTATTCCTCTCTTGAAGTAAACGAAAATAAAAAATGAAAAATTCCTCGCTTTTAATTTTTACAGGTAAGTAAGTATATGGTATGTAATGTTTATTATGAGTCTATCTCGAGATTCCTTTTTCTTTTATTTTATTAATTTTTTTTTTTTTTTTGTCAATAATTTTATTTAAGGAAAAATTTGAGCTATTGATTGGCTTAATGATTTCTAGATTTATTTAAAAAGTATTTCTTTATTTAGTATACATATATATGTATATATATATCTGAAGAATTGTGCTAAGTAATGAGTTGTATGTATGGTTGTCACGTTTTTCTTGTTTACGAACTTTTGTAAATAAATTTGTTTTTTTTTTTTTTTTTTTAAATATAATCCTTTTATTTATAACTACATATGCAAATTTAATATATTTTTATATTTTTATTTTTTTTTTTATTATTATTTTCATAATAATTTATAAACAAATTTAACAAAAAAGACAAATTCATTTCTATATAAAAGGCTCAGGAAATGAATATAAGAGATATTTGGATTTGGAGTTTCAAAAATATTTTTTATATTAACATATAACGTAATATTATTTTTGATTTAAATATCATTATAAATTATTTATTTATTTATTTGTTTTTTGTTTGATGTTTGTTGTTTACAATAATTTCAGGTCTAAGGAGTTTTTTTTTTCGTTAATATTTTTGTGGTTAAAATTATATATATAAAACTTAGTTTTATTTATAATATTTAATAAATAATATTAAGGTAACATTTAAAAGGACTAACTAAGGAATAAAATGTTATGATTTTATCGAAAAAAAAGTAGAAAAACTTCAAAATAAAATATCAAAAATTAGACTTTATTGTCTTATTAAGATTTAATTTTCATGTATGCCATTATATGGTTCGGGCTCCGAAAAATGAGGTTATCTGGCCCATATATAACATGCAGTGAATATGTAGATGAGTCAATTTGCACCAGTTTGCATACAATACAGTTATTCACATAGTGACTTTTGAATAAACGGTTTTTTTGAATGGGATGGGATCAAGAAACTGATTCAATCCCCAACTTTTCCAATAGCAATCGTTCTTGGACCAAAACAAAATATCTTAAAAATGAATCAAAATTAAGATCACACACATTTTGAAATTTTTTCTTTAAGAAAAAACAAAAAATAACAAATTCCTGAGCTCCCCAGTTTTATTCATAACGAGCTAAGGAAAAATGAACAAAGAAATCTGGCAAAGGTGTTTTGCATCGTAAGCAGACAAAGGGATATGACTATTGGGTTGTTCGAAAGGTCATTTCTTTTTTTTTTTTTTTTGTATTATGCGCTTATCATGCGCTACACTTCGTTTTCTTTTCCTATACGACCATTCAATCAGGCAATGCCTCCTCCTATTCGTGTAATACGATATCGATCGGTAAGAAGTAAGGAAAGAGAGAAAGGAATAATGGGTGTTTATTTAATCGGTAACTGTTGTGCCTTTACCGGCCACATTATAACTACGACCGAGGCGTTACACCTTTCATATCGATTGCACTTTTCGAAAGCTTGCGATGGATACATAATATTAAATGAGATTCTTTTTGTATTCATATCATTGATCACAACCTATGGGGCTATAATGAAACTTTTCAACTAATGTAAAGCTTAATAACAAAAAAAAAAAAAAAAATTCTTTTTAAATTCTAAACACAAGTTCATATAAAATCTCTCTTTGAACACTTATCATCGGAAGCTGATCTTGATGGCATGGATCTAATCCATATTAAAGGTGGAAATATTTCTTTAAAGCACACGATGGGTATAAGTGGTTTCGTTCAACAAGGAAAATTGCTATCTTCGCCTGGAGCAGGCAACTTCAAAGCGTTACTGCCATAGTAGCGACGATAACAATCAATGGCAAATTTCTAGGAGAAATTAGGAAATTTTTGGATTCTATTTGGGAGTTTCAGCCGGACATTGAGACATGTCCGGCGGCAGGCGAAGAAAACAAATCATTGTAAACGCGATCCGGTAATGAAATTTAATTTTATGAAATTTGGTTTAATGAAAAGTCATATATATATATATATATATATACATGTATATACGTATATGTATCCAAAAATTTACGCTACACTTAAATTTGTGAATACTTGTGCGATAAGGTGTTGGCAACAGAACAAGTTGCCAGCTGACATGAAATCTTGAGTATATATACATATATATCTATCCAAAAATTTACGCTACACTTAAATTTGTGAATATTTGTGCGATAAGGTGTTGGCAACAGAACAGGTTGCCAGCTGACATGAAATCTTGGGTCAATTTTCGGACCCTCTTTATAAAATAAACGTAAAATATATAGAAATGAATAAATGCAAAAAATGAGAATTATTTAAAAATAAAAAAATAAATAGTTCACCATGCCTTGCAATAAAGTCTAATTTTTGAGGATTCGATTATTATTTTATTTTTTTACATTTTTTTTTGATGGTGTATATTTTTTTTCCTGTTTGTTTTGTATCAAGAATTACGTGTGATTATTATTATTTACTTATTTATTTATTTACTTTTTTTTTTTGTAAAGAGTTTCAAAAATTTCCCATTTTATGACTTGTTTCTGATGTTATGTTCGTTTGGCAGTAACACGCAATAAAAAGTTATTTTTTAATTTAAGCTTAAGAGTATGAGAAAAAAAAAAATAATAAAAATTTTTGATAAAAAAAACAAAACAAAAAAAAAAAAAAAAAAAAAAAAAAAAAGACATGTGTTTATAAGGTTCAATGATTTATTATTTGTTTTTTTTTTTTTCTCACTAAAATTTTATTTCTTCGTAAGAATGCTTACACTTCAGTTTTTAAATATTTTTTATGTGTATGTCGGTATGCATGAGAATTCAAATTGATTTTTAGTTATTGTTGTTTTTGTTGTTTTCTTTTTTTTCGTTTCCTTTATACTTATTTTTCTAACTTTTGAAAAAATGAAATTATTTACAGAAAAATAGACATTGCTTACAAGTTTCGCTTTGACTTTTTCAATCTCGTACTAATTCTTTTCTTTGCTTCTTGCATTTTACTAGTTTTTCTAGCTTTCTTTGAAAATGTATGGCAGAGTTTTTATGCGTTCTTTCCTTTTTCTTTTTATTTTCATTTTTTTTTTTTTTTTTATTCATTAAAAAAAAAATGTTCTGAACAATTTTGTTTGGTTGAGTTGTTGTTGCTGTTGTTGTTGTTGTTGTTGTTTTTCTCTCTCTTTTTTTCATATAATTAATAAAATTGTTCATTGTGCATTTCGTGTAATATTTGGTTTTAATTACTTAAACATAATCTAGTTAGTATTTCTCATCGTCTGATATTTCCCTTTGGGAATTCTGTAATTCTCAGGCTTTGTATTGATGATTACGAACGGCGCAGCACAAACTCAATGAGAAAGTCAAAGCCAATAATTCCAGCAATATGACACCGGCCGTTACACCAAACAGTAGAACCCAATTCTCATAAATCAATTCAATCAGCTTATCAACGCAACCCTTTATTAAATGAGAAAAAAAAAAAAAACACCAAAAGTCAAAATTTTTGTTTTTCTCTATACATCCAAGATATCGTATAATTGATAGATAGATTACTTGTTGATGTATGGCCGGATTGAAAGTGCCGCCGAATTTCAATTTCCTCGACATTTCACATACGTTCTCCTTTAATTCATCTTTACAGCATGATTCGGGTATATTGTAGAATACATTCATGGATGAGATGGCGATATCAACGATATTTGTCCGATCGACATTATTGAACCGACTGGTAGCCCAATCGCTAGGACCATCCGCTCCACAGCATTTTAACTAAAAATGAAAATGAACGTTTTTTTTACAATCATTTCAATGTAAATGGACGCAAAGCTTTAACAAACAACAAACAACAACAAATAGTAATAACAATAACGACTTTCACTTTACTTTGTAACAATACAATTTATGGTACTATGGACGGACAGTATTAAATCCGAATTTCAACAGGCTAGTTAAGTTTGGCGACCAAAAATACCAAAAAAAGTATGGACAGACGGACGAATGGACAAATGCAAGAGAGATCAATCAAAATCCTATCTCCAACTACTACCCAAATTTTAAGCAGAACTACTATTGCCGAACATTCAGTTTCGCAGCATGGAAAGAATGTTTTATAAAAACCGGTTTTATGGCGCCCGTCAACTAAACAAGTTTTTGTGTTTAAAAATTCCGTACAAAAAAGTCGACAAACTATATATATTCTTGATCAGCATCAAATTCCAAGTGGACTTGTGCCACACGCCCACTCAATATTAGAGTGTATCAAAATTTAATTTTTTTTCAATACCTATATAAGACGCAAGAACAAGTTTCAAAAACTCTATAATGTATACAAAATCTTGGTCAGCTTCAAATTCTGAATGCATTTAAACATGTTCGTCTGTTCGCTTGCCTAACTGCGTAGTGTCCGTGGTAAACATTTTCCCGTTAGCGAATATGATGACATCGCCTACGAATTCGCAAAATTTGAAAGTGAATTAAACTTTCCCAAGGACGCCTACAACGTCCACGCGCCTATGCGGCAAAAATTTTGTTTTGAAAACAGAAAAAATCAGCCGCGCTCACTCCAATGATGGGTATCAAAGATTCGGTCACGACTGAATATAATTTTCTTACTTGTTTAAACCTATTTTGTGGCCTTCAAACTTATGCCTCTCAGTCACTACACACTTACGCCAACGTTAACCAAGATCTCTAAACACTTGCTATGGTCGATTTCCAAAATTGCCTTCGACGGCTTTCTACTAGGCAGCTTTTATCTCTTCAACCCAGTCAAACCGTTCTCCCCGGAGGAGTCTTTTGACTTTAGGTAACAGCTGGAACACACTTGGGACTAAATCATATGAATGCGATAGTTGTTATATCATTATATTGATTTTTGACGATATAATGTAGCAAACATGTGTCTGCTACATCCTATTTTTCGTCGCACGCCCACTCTTTTTATTTCGATACAGATGTGATGTCGGCAATATAATTCTACGAAAACTCGTCAATTGGACGCATAAATTTTGTGAATCGTCACAGTCGCAAAAATGAAGAGAGAAATGTGAAAATTGGTATAAACATTTCTTGATCGATTAAGAACAAGGTGATGAAAAGTGGATGAGATTTGTGCGTATACAAGCCTACAATATAGAAGAAACCAAAGTAGTCTTTAGAAACACGAATAATTTTTTCAAATTTTCGTCTCCAACGTAAACATGTTTTGGTTAGCTTGTTAGAACTCATCTTACACCACGCTCGGTATGTATTAAAGTTCTTATATCAGTCCTTATGACGCCCATTGATATATCGTTTAACGACAAGTCGCAATTTTCGGGACACTTCAATAAGATTTGGTACGCTTTGTTTTTTTTTTTCAAATATATAATCAATCATTCAAGTGATATACTCTGCATGCGTAACACGTTGATGATCAGAAAGAATTTGGGAGAGAGAGAGATAGGGCCAGGAGTATAACATTTGTCTCTGGTAAATTTTATGTCTCTTTTCAGTTTTGCGTATGTATGCAACACGGCTTAAGTCTGTCTATCCATCTGTCTGCTGCCCTATCATGTATTGTTTAATGGCAAGTCACAATTTTCGAAATATTTCGATTGGATTTGTGATGCTCTCTGTACGCGTAACACGGCAACGATCTAGTTTCGTACGCTGCGATATGAAAAAATTTGCTCAAACTAATTGAATATAAGATATGTGAATTACATGAAATAATTTTTGAATCTCTTCGTTTAGAAGAGAAACAAAGGTCTACTTATTATTACCACTAGTAGTGGATAGCCCTCCACATAAGGATTGCCATGAAAAATAATCTTATAATCTATTGGATTTTGCAAAGTTATATAGGATATTAAACAGTCGGTGTAATCTACTAGCACTACTACGACTATAAGATTTCAATTTGATTCCCTTTATAATGTAGTAAATAGTTTGTTCTAGCAATAATAAAGATTAATTCCATCATTGATTAAACTCTAATAGGCTTAAGGAAGTAATTGATAGAAAACTTCCACTGTTGCAATATTTCACTATATGCATATGCGTATTTTTGGAGAAGAAACCGTAGGCTGAATAAATATCAAAAATTTACTTACATTCTTTTGTATGGTGTCAAAGGTAACAGTACGCGAACTCATACTGGATTGACCGTACTCCTCCTGCACTGAGTATTTAACCGAAGCTCGTACAATATCATCAAGTTTGTCTTTGTTATGGAATGCCCAAGCACCAGCAGCTATTTGCGCCACCATCACAATTAGTATAACGCAGAAAAACTGAAAAATATTACAGAATAACACGAACGCGTCTATATTTTGTCTTCCAGTGAACCTTAATACTAGAATTACTATGAATAACTATGACCCTCAAAAAAGTGGTTAAAATGCATGCAGAGAGTTCCAAACAGACTTTACTTACACCACGCTTACCATGACCACTCGCCGATTTATCGATTATTATCATCAAGATATGACATTAGCAACGTGTGAGAGAGAGAGAGCCTTAGAAGAGTTGATTTTATACTTATATTAGGGGTCCAATATATTGATCAGGTCGTGAACCTGTGTGTTAAATTATTACTAAGAACCCTACAGCAGGGTAAATAATCCACCATTGCTTTTGTATTGACTAAGTTTTAACAACTGATAACTGGTAGATTTCACTCTCGAGTCGACGACTCCATTGATAAAATTTGTTCATTAGTGAATAATAATACGAATGTTAGCCTTACGAGAGGGTCCTTGTTTTTGTACTCCTTCAATAGCATTCACATAGCGGCGATAGAACGAAGACCTTACATGCGGTACATCACATGATCTGACGGACGTTACAGACAGTCTCTTCATGATATATGGGTCATTGAAGTCACGAGCCCGGCACTTAATGTATCCTAACGTGGATGTTGCTTTATTGATAATAGATGAAATATGTAAATCGCGCTTATCTACTAAACAGCACACCTAAATCATATCAGTCATGTCTGTATTCTCCAATCTATACAAACACTGTCCGTCTTCTGTGTGAACAGTTTTATATAGTTTCGCATCATCTGCATACATTAGAATATTAAATGATTTGATCACGTATGAGAGACCATTCATAAAAAGCACAAATAGAATAGATCCAATAGATTTCCCTGGGAAACCGCTGACATTACTTTAAATTCACTACACTGCTTATCTACTTTGGTAGGCCTTTGGTAGTACTAAAAATCAGTAACTTGTAGTGCATTCGAACAAAAGTCTTACTAAAGTCCTCATATGCAACGTTCGTTTGGGCGCCTCTAGAGAAAGCTTTGACAATGTGTTTGGTGAACTCCATGAGTTTGGTAATAGTAGATCTACCATGCTGATAAGCATGTTGAACCGTGAAGACAATCGATTTTTTGGCGCGTGTTGTATGTGGAATAATAATTTTTCTGTAATCGCCAGATTGATCGATTGATTAGGCTTGCAAGGCTAAAAAATTTGTATTATATGTCCACATGCGTACAGCTCTGATAAAGCAGATGCTGAAACAACCTCGAAAAAAATAGACAACTTTTTCATATTTCCGCGTGTAATTTGCATACATATATATAGTGTAAAAGAAGAGGAAAAATATTTCAAATTTTTCATTTTCTTTTTAAGGTTTTTCTGTTTAAGATTGTTCATGTTTAAAAATTTTCTGATATGATAAGCGATTTTTCATTTTCAACTCGTTTGAAACAATTCGATTCAAAATAGATTCGTTTATTACGTATTTCAATTTCTGAGTAGACGGACGGAAATATTTTAATTGTCAAAAGCACTTTCCCTTTTCAAAGGTAAGTATTTTTTAATGCTACTCAATTACATGGTTCTAAGTATCGGATGGTAGATACCAGAACTTCATGGCCCTGCCAGGGATGTGCAGACAACACTTGTACATGTGAATGTCGCGAATTGAAATGTATTTTTACGGGGATTTTGATATGAATAAAACTTATTTACTGATTATGAGAACACTCACATACACACACTTACCGACACTAGCAAACATTGCGATTCTTTTAAAACGCCACAACAGCCAAAAAATGCACCAACAGTGATGAGTACGCCGATGCCCAGAAAGACATACAAAGCGATATAATAATGATTATACGATTGTGTCATTGATAAAACAAACGTTGGATCGGTTAGCATCCAAGCTGAAGCGATAACAATCGTTAAACCAATGATCTGTAAAGAAAGAAACAAAATAAAAAAGTGTTAAATAAGCAACTACAACAAAATACATCCAAAATAGATTTATATGCAATGTAAAGCAATAATAAATTTTTTTATAACCGAACGCGTCTGTTGAAAGGCATAAATATTTCAAAGCAAACATAAAAAATTTATAAACATCTACAAACTGATCAATTAATGTTTGCATGTTTGAGATAAAGTGTTGCTAGGTGGAATAGAGAGAAGAGAAATATGTATTTTAAGTTGAATGTGTAAATAAGTTATTCTCATTGTTGTGGTTGTTTTTGTTGTTATTGCTGTTACAAGAGAACTGACTGAAAGCCTATCATAAAACTGTTTGTACATTAAAGAGGAAGAGAGAAGAAAAAGTAATGTAATCAAAAAGGATATTTATTTATTTTTTTCATTGGCTCAGCGGCATTTGTTTATCATGTTGATTAAATCAAGTCATTAAATACCCTACACATTTATTTGTATATTGATTTTTCAAAATAAGGCTTTTGTGGCCTTGGAAGCGATTGGAAAGATGGTTCGTTTGAAACCATTTTCAATGGCCTTGATTCTTGGGCCTAGACAAACCAGCCTACAAAATTTCATCAAAATATTTCAAAAAGGTTGCATGTAAGCTACCGAAAAGTTCGGACGGACGGACGGAAAAGCTAAAATGAACTTAAGAAGTGATTCTGAATTGATCGGTATAATGAAAAGGTGAGTTTATCTCAACTCCTTCTCGGCGTTGCATACATCCACACAAACTTAACATTCCCTTGTACTGCAAGAAGTGCACACAAGAAGAAATAAAACGTGTACTCGATTTGGATAATCCAACGTGAACAATCTTCATAAATGTTCTTCAACGTCATCAATCCGTAAAGAAGCGGAAGTCGTTCCTAAGTTAATTTTATGGAAAATAAAAAGAAAACAGAAATTATTATTATGTAATACGGTTTTTATCTCATGCTCGGTGCGGTCATAGTTCGCCTTAGTAATGTTTTGCTTTAAATTTGCACTTGTTGTGGGTAATCAGCACATTCCCTATTAACTTAACTAATCTTAACTAACTGCGTCGACCTCTTTAGCAATGTATTCTTATACTCGTCAAACATAGTGCAGGTGCAGTAAGGACTTGGGTGGTAGTGAAACGACTTGGCAGAATGACGAAAATAGTTTCTAAAATACATTAATGCGCGCTCATAATAGTGAAATTATAAGAAGAAATCCGATAAGGACGGATGGACGGATCATGTCGTGTATACACGTTATACACAGTTAACTGAAGTAATTATTATTTAGCATTTACAGTTGTACAAACAAGTGTAACAGGCATGTTTCAGTTGCATGTAGTCATTCTGACAAGTTTACAGGTAAGTGTTACATGTAGGTAGACATTACATTTCTATCCAAGCAAATATTTTACTAGAGTGTAGAGTGTCGTATTTATTTTATCTAAGATTTGGATTAAATGATAAGCAGAGTTTTTTTTTATTTATAATTTTTTTATTGAGTCATAATGTACGTAGGATAGGGTTATATGTGGAATAGAAAATCGGGCAAATGGTCCCCACGGTCATGGAAATTCTGATCATCGAAACGAGAGAGAGTACACGATCAGGGAATGTCCCATGCACTAATTTAATTATTTCACGGAGTGTATGGCATGTGGCAACCTTTGTGTTGCAGCGCGCGCTATAGAGCACCAATAGCAGTCATTACTTGGTCAGCTTGATTTTCGGAGAAGTATGACCAAAAGTTTGTTATTTTCGAAATATTTTTCAACAACGAAAACGCTTTGCACTCTCGTGTAATGCACCTTTTACGCTAACCCTAAACTGTCATCTTATGCGAAATGCTAACAGGTTTTACTTGAAAAAAAATTAATTAATTAAATTCTGCGAACGTAATCGATTTCTTCCCATTCTTATATATGAATAAAAGGATTGTCCATCAATTCAAATTAGAAAATGTCATCCTTCTATCTTTTCTAAGTTATGAAAAAAACGTAAACCCCACACAAAGAAAAAGAAAAGGGCTTTTAGTTTACGTTGTACTGTGGGCGTGTTCTTTGATCGATTTAGCTCATTTCTAAGACCGTCTTACACGCAAAAACTTTCAACACTGCCGTTCTCACAGACAAATAGAAATACGGGCGCATAGGCATGACTAAATCGACTCAGAATTTGAGGTTAAACAACAATACACATGTATATAGTTTGTGGGGTCTGTGAACCTACCTTCGTTTGAACAAAATGTGTAACCTTTCGTGGTGAGTATAATGATTCTATATAACCTATTGAACAGATCAGCACAAATTTGTGGTTTTTTTTTTTTGAAGTTTCCAAATTTACGGTTAGACTTCTTGAAAGTCAGAAAATCACCATCAGGGATCGTATACGATTCCAACCTTCGTGAAATTCCAGGATAACTCTCTTCTCGTTAGTCAGAAAATCAAATTGACGGCTGCTTGTGACTTGTAAAGTCTCGGCGATGTTGCTTAAAAGACGGATGGAAGATAGAGGTAAGCCTTGTTGGAATTTCTGAGATGAGATATCATGTGCGATTCCATCCGCCCTGAAATTTCAGGTGGGCACTGGAGTAACTCCAAGCTAATTATCGTATTTCATTTTCCCGCGATTACTCCATCAACATACAAATCACCACGACATTCTTTTCTCATTCTGATGGGTCATGACCCATAACCCAGTAAAGGTTTCACACACACACACACTTTAGGGAGGATGGAGGAGGGAGGAGAAGAAGTTTATTTAGTTTTATACCTGGTTTTTGTCTTACGTTATTGCAAAGCGATTAAAATAAAGGCAATCTGTCTATATACTAAGGAAGGACAGAGTTTCGTTTTCGAGTTTTTATAGTCTGAAGATGTCACAGCATCACAAGTCTCTGAAGAATTTTCCATAGATTTTTAGAGAGTATTAATGCACTCTTAAACAAGAGCACGAAGAACAACAACAATACACTTTTCGTTCTTCGTGCTGTACATGTATGTCGTGATACAGGTCTGGTGTAGCTGTTGAGTGAACCTTGGTATGGTTACGAAAAGACGTAGATGCATTAATATTGATAAAATTGATAGGTAACAAACAAATTTAAAAGTTATACGTATACTCGCTTGGTCTTGAATGGGAGAACGTGTTCTTTATGATGATCGAGAAACTTCTATAGAACGGTAGAAAACATGTAGATTAAAATTTTGTGATCCGAATGTATTTTACAAAAAGAAACAATGACGAGAAAAAGTAAAGCAAAGCAGTGGTTAATTCAAAACTAAATTGTACCCAAATACGCCCACCAAAAACTGTTTTTAGTCTGCGGTCTTTGGTAAGACGAACTTATCGCACTCTCCTTAAATTGATTAGTTTCGTCAAACGAAATGTTACTATATACATTTATGTATATACATATATGTATATAAATATGTATATATATATAATTATGGGGTATATATACATATATATATACATACATTATTTAATTTTATTTATGTAGAAGAGCTTGCGCTTAAATCATATGCACATATAAAAAAATTGAAAAAAGCACCCTACAGCGTCTTGTAATCACAGGGCTCGTCCGGGATTTGAACCCGGGACCTCTCACACCCGAAGCGAGAATCATACCCCTAGACCAACGAGCCTCTTATTATAACGACGTTTTCTATCTCAATACTAATGCAAGCTTATGTTTACAGAAGAGAAAAACTTAAATGCTTGCTAACAGATGGCGTCTGTAGCTGAGAGAAAACAATATGATTATTAGAGAGAGAAAAACTTTTTGTATGATTCATACCAAATATTTTCGATCATTTCTTTATAAAACTATTGAACTATGAAGTATTTTTATTAAACTCTTGCTTTCTTGCGGATATAAATGTTAAACAAGGCTGACCCGATTTTAAATGCAGCCCTAAAAGCGTTTTTCAATCCACATAAGAGGTGGCTCTGAAGATTTTTGAAGAAATTTGTCGTCATAAATCCATCGGGAGGGGAATATTTTTCATAGAAATTTATATATATTTTATATATATATAATATATATATGTATAAAGTATTCAAAAAATTTTCCAATTTGTCGTTTATATTGCTTGTATTCTTTTTTCTCTTTCTTTTACCCATTTTTCTTTTCGCGAGTGAAACGCAATGATGAGTAAATACAGTTGAAGACTACATTGGAAATATTCATGATCTGTAAGTGATGGCTAAAAAAATGAGTATAAATGCGCAAAAATATTTTAATCGGATAAGACCGATCTTTAAATTCTCATATCATCAGCAACTATTAAATACTGGACCTTGTTGCCATATACAGGCTTACTTTTCAACATCATCCCTATAACTGATCTGATTCAAAGCTAGTATTATGGACTAATTTTTATCATGAAATATTAAAAATTAGATTTTTGTTGGCATATTTGGATCTATTTTTTGTAAAAACACATAAGATAACCATCCCATCCATATCCAAATCTCCCGCATTTTATTTGCTAATTTTTACCTGCGACCGATTTTTGGAGGAAAATTTTGAAAATGTAATTTCTTTTTTTCATGACTGCGAACAGGCCGTCGTAGAAGTAGTGATCGTAAAATTAATCTGATTCCATCCATTTTCAATGTTATAGCCTGCAAAATTCATCAAATTACCTCGAAACTTGCGATATACATTTCATTCTTTTACTATGAGCAAGCACTCAGGGGATGCACCCCTGGACGTGTACTAGGTTATTGATCAGAAAGAAATTGGGGGGAAGATGTAGGGAATGATCGCAGGATGTTACGAGCGGAAGATTGTGAAATTATATTTAAATATAACTAGCAAAGACACAAACCAAAATTTTGTTGCAGAGCTTTGTAAAGCCGTTAACAGAATTTTGATAAACGAAGTCTCGGAGGGATTTAACTCAAACTACAAGTAAAATGGAACTTTTCGATCATTTTTTTTTTTGCAAATTATTATAAACAAAACTTGACTTTATCTAAATT